TTGTAGGCCTACCGTTGGGCAATGGCCGGCTTGATCCGGATTTACAGTGCACGTGTGCGTCCCCATCTAACTGCCCGCCACGATGTAGACAACCCACCTGCTGCCCGCCCCATGCCAACTACTATGCCGCTCACCCTCCACGCTCTCACCCACAGCCACCACGGCCGCCGCCGAGCCGCTGCCTGCCTGTACTGCTAGGGCTCGCGGGGGGCAAGCGCAGGGCGGAGAGCCCCGCGTCCAGCAGGACGCTGCCGTGGACGCGCCGCACCGCTGCGAGGCCTGCGCGGCAGCCTTCATGACGGCGGCCCTCCTCCGGGCACACATGCTGACCCATGGCGCCGATGAACTGGACAGCGGTGACCTCTGCGGCGTCAGTCCAGCGGAGAGTGCTGACCTCCGTAGGCACACGAGGACTCACACAGGTGATACACCCAACCACTGCCAGACTTGCGGAAAAAAATTCTCTAACCTTCGCAACCTCCGTGTGCACATGAGGACGCACACGGGTGAGAAACCCTACAAATGCCAGACTTGCGGTAAAGGATTCACTCACAGTGGCAATCTCCATGTGCACCTGAGAATTCACACGGGTGATAGACCCTACAAATGCCAGGCTTGCGGCAAAGGATTTTCTCAACTCGCCAACGTCGGTAGACACATGAGGACGCACACGGGTGAGAAACCCTACAAATGCCAGACTTGCGGTAAAGGATTCACTCACAGTGGCAATCTCCATGTGCACATGAGGACTCACACCGGTGAAAGACCCCACAGCTGCCAGACTTGCGGCAAGGGGTTTGCCAACAGTAGCAATCTCCGTGTACACATGAGGATACACACAGGTGAGAAACCCGACAAGTGCTAGACTTGCGGCAAAGGATTTTCTCAACTCGCCAACGTCGGTAGACACATGATGACTCACACGGGTAACAAACCCTACAAGTGCCAGACTTGCGGCAAAGGATTTTCTCAACTTGCCAACGTCGGTCGACACATGATGATGACTCACACTGGTGATTGGTGATAGACCCTATTATAATGGCCAGGCTTGTGGTGCTTATTTCAACACCAGTTTTTCTATCGACAGACACATGAGTATACTGTATAGCCAGACCTGTGGAATTAGCCTACAGTTCACATATGCACTTAAGTACTAACACAGGCGACGACCTCTTTGATTGCAAGACTTGTGGTGAAGGTTTTCCTGACTATTCCTATCTTTGCAAACTTGTGAAGATACACTGGTGTGAAATCTTTCATGTGTCAGTCCTGCAGCGCAACTATAATAAGAGTGAAAATCT